TTGATCTGACCTGAAATTAACTCGACCAGAACTCTAATTGAATCTGATTTAAAATCAACCTAAAAATAACTCAAACCCGAGTAAACCCATACCCAACTTGATCTGAGTCCAACAATTGAATTGACCTGACATAACATATCTAATTTAATCTAACCTAACATAATCCAAACTGACACATAAATGATTACCTAATTTCACAACCTAACTATTAGGTTCCAAAGTATATTCATTTCGGGATGTATCAGCCAAATCAGTGGCCCCAAGTATTTGGATGTTATCTGTGAAATAGATTTGACGCTGCTCTTAGGGACCAAAACATATGAACCCATTAGCCAATATTACTTGGAGAACAGGTCCTGGAAGAATCAAATCGAGTATAATTAATACTACTTGGGGTCCAAGTAAACCACATATAATACATCACATGGCCATGGCCTACTAAAGTAAGAAACAAACAAACTAACAGCAATGGAAATAAAACAATTATGCACATTCAACTTTACAAATTTAGAAAGCACGTGCCGTGGAATTTAATAGAGCAATCAATTATGTCACAAAGATATTGATGTAGCTATATAGAAATATACGCAAAATTTTGTGTTAGAAACGAACTTATAAAATTATGTTAGAGACGAAGTTATACAATTTTAAGGGTTTATAAAATTTTAGAAGATGAAAACATATTGTCAAATATAAAAAAATACTTAAATTATATGGAAATTTAAAATTTTCAAGAGAACAATTGTCCCGTCAATCCCTCCTCAATCCATCCCTTCATATAAATCATTGTATCCATATATAATGTAGAAAAATAACATAATGACAGAAGCATGCATGTTCTCAAAGCACTAGTGGGAAGTTGGGGCAAACCATAATCATAGAACAATTGGTTTACATTGTAAAATACATATTAATAGAACAATTCCTCAACACTTTTCATGAGATTGTTGGATGATATCTTGGATTAGTGATGTAATATTAAGGTAAGAAGAACCCCCCACTTCAATTGCTTTTTTTGCTTTCTCTCCAAACTTCTCAGCTATTTTCCTTCTCTCTATTCCTTCATCTCCTTCATCCATCAATTTCTCTATTTCGTTTTTAACATGTTCCTTCTTCAGCAAGAAACCAGATTTCTCATCACCAATGTTCGTAGGTTTGTCGATTCCAAGGCTCACTCCGATTTTCAGTATTTGTACTGCAAGTTTCTCGTTACTAAACTGGTCTGCAAATAGAGGCAATGTTATCAAGGGGACGCCTCCTGAAATGCCTTCGATTGTCGAATTCCATCCACAATGCGTTAGGAAGCCTCCTATTGCCCGGTGTGACAGAATGAGTACTTGGGGAGCCCATCCCTTAACTACAAGTCCTCTTCCTTTCGTTCTTTCCTCGAATCCATCTTCTGCCATCCACTTCTCGACTTCGTTCGATGTCGTGTTATTTCCTCTTAGCACCCACATGAAGGGCTTCTTCGATGCCTCTAAGCCTAAACCCAACTCTATCAGCTCTGGACACTTTACAGTGCTGATGCTTCCAAGGCAAGCATAGATAACAGATTTGGCTCCTTTAGAATCAAGCCACTTTAAACACTGCTGCTCAATGATCGAAGCCTTGTTACCTCTCTCAGCCTTATCCGACTCGTCCTTGTGGCTAAGAGAAACTGGACCTATACACCAAGCTTTCGTTACCTTCCTATACTCCTCTACGAAAGCCGGCTCCAACTCCTCGAAAGTGTTTATGACAACCCCATATGTTGCTTGCCTAGCTTCTACGAACGATCCAACTATTTCCTTCCAGGATTCCTCCCTCATAAGAAGTAACTGTGCTTTGGTGAATTCGACTTTTTCTGTCAAGCCTGGCACCGTGAAGTATTCGGAATCAGAGGCTACGGTCTCAAGTATCTTGGAGGAATGTATATTGTGCAAACAAAGGGCAAAGAAGCAACAAGACCCATTGAACGATATCCTTGGAAGCTTAAACCTGGTAGCAATTTTGTGAGTATAATGGAGGCACGCGTCTGAAATAATGCAATTGGAGCGTGGCGTTAGCTTCTCAAACAACTTCTCCACTTCATCTTCCATCTTGTTTGCTGCAACGAAGAATTTGCGGAAGTCCTCCGATGAGTGCACCATGTCTACATTCTCGACCCCATCCGGCAATCCGACTTCATTTCCGGGAAACCGGAGCTGCACTAAACGGATAGGATGCCCCAATTCGATAGCTCGAGCGATCGATCTCTGGACTCTGTCTGCATTATGAGGCGTTGTAACTATAGTAACAATAACGCCACGGTGTGCCAAGAGTTTACCAATATCTACCATGGGTAGCAAGTGGCCTTGAGCCATGAAAGGGAACAACACAAAGTGAGGCTTCTCGGATATGGAACCCATTGAAATGAAGAGTAAAAGGAAGACGAAACTGAATCTGTAATTAAGGGGTGCAGAGATCTGTTATAATAGCGAAATGTGAAGTTCAATTCAGACTGGTATTATTGAAATGGCTGATGCAAGAGCATACATAAGCATATTGGTTTATTCGGCAAAAAGATGAGGTTGTGATGAAAAACTAGAATTCTGTGGACTGCTGGATTTGATATTTGAACCCTTTTTGTCTGTTCCAAGTAAACTCCATTTTAGAACATACAATACAATTAACTCTCATATTTAAGATATATTTATATTATATAATAATAATTGAATTAAATTTATACTTCGTTATATTTTATTATTTTTAATTGAAACTTTTTGAAATAATAAAGTATAGAATAAAAATAATTAATAAATGATAAAATTATTTTAGTTAAAATTTAGTGAATAGTTAAATCATAGGAGGTTAGTAATTTTTTCATCCAAATTAAATCACAAATCTTGTACAACATCTTAAAATTGAGGATAAACTACATAAATACTCATTGAACTTTTAGGACACTTATATTTAGTCATCGGGCTTTTGAAACTTACAACACAATCATTAAACTTTTAATTTACTTTAAATACAGTCATTTTCTTTAACTATCGTTAAGAAATATTGGCATAACATGTTAAAGCCATCTTCTTCCAAAAGAAAAACCCCAAGTTTCTCTAACTAACTAGTAGCCACTAGCCTCTTTTTGCTTGAGCCATCAGCATCTGACATTCTTTTAATCTCTCTCACTTTTAAACACAACACTCATCATGATTCAGAGCTTCATCATCTCTCAACGGTCATCGAACCTTAACACCTTAAAAATTTGGTTTAGAATTTTTTCAATATTCGATGTCTAGAAATTTGTTTTCAGTAATTATTATAATATTTTGAATTTTCAAAAAATGAGATTAATTTTATTGATTAAATAAGATTAAGATATGATTTGATTTGAAAGTTGTTTAAGGATTAAAATGTGATAAAAAGGAACATGATGATTAAAGTGAAAAGGAAAAACTTAGGCGCTCAAATGAAAACAAAGGGAAAAGATGAATGGTTAAGAGTTAATTAACACATGAAATGATTGTTATTAAAACGTAGAAAAGATGAATGATTGATTCTATGATTTTATCATTTTCTTTTTAGTGAATAAGTTATTAGATGTCTTATTCTTATAATTTAGTCCAAATTTTGTATTTCTTTAAATTGACTTAGATTAGTAAACCCTTTGAGGTGGGTTTTATTCCAGTTGTCGTTGGATTGAATAGACAAAGTAGCAAGTCCTTTTCGTCTTCTCCAAATTCCAAAAGTCACCGTTGTTGAAACCAAGTTTGAAACCCTAATTTTTTATTTTAGGGATTAAGTCATGTTAGTAGTCCAAACTCTAAATTAATTAGATATTTGATAAGCTCTCAAACTTAGATTTTATTCGGCGTCGTTCGTTTTTAATTTGAAGAAAGCTAATATGAAATCATAAACTTAAATTTAGAGATTCAAATAGTTTAAGGGATCAAAACCCTAAATTGAGTACATCATTGGAAAGCTTATGAAATTTCCTATTGAATGATATTATTATTTTCATCATTCTCCAAGTGTAAGTGAAATCTTAAAATTTGACCATATTTAATGGTTTATATCAATTTAAGGTTTATGTTGGTGTTGACTTTGGATGATGAATACCTTGATGAATATATGTTTCTCAGTTTTCTAGAGCAAGAAAGTTCAGTGGAGTGTTGCCTTGTTTGCTGCAATGAAGAACTTGCGGAAGTCCTCGGACTAATGCACCATGTCTACAGTCTCAACCCCATCTGGAAATCCAACTTCATTGCCAGGAAACCGGAGCTGCACTAAACGTATAGGATGCCCCAATTCGAAACTCGAGCAATCGATTTCTGGACACTGTCAGCATTATGAGGTGTTGTAACTATAGTAACAATAACGCCACGTTGTGCCAACAGTGTACCAATATCTACCATGGGGAGCAAGTGGCCTTGAGCCATGAAAGGGAACAACACAAAGTGAGGCTGCTCGGAAATGGAACCCATTGAAAGGAAGACGAAACTGAATTTATAATAAAAGGATGCAGAGATCTGTTATATACAGCGATATTTGAAGTTCAATTCGGATTGGTATTATTGGAATGGCTGATGCAAGACCATACATAAGCATATTGATTTAATCGGCAAAAAGATGAGGTTGTGATGAAAAACTAGAATTCTGTGGGCTGCTGGACTTGATATTTGAACCCTTTTCTTCTGTTCCAAGTAAACTCCATTTCAGTCTTGTCTAACCAATGGCTCTGAGTGTTCCATGTAAAAAGGCATAAACACCATGGGCCAGAAACATCAAACCAATAAACAAAACATCTTAAAGGCATTATCATGTGAAGATGGTCAAACCATAAATAAGACTAAAATCGACTTAAGTCAAAACTGTTTATGATTTGAGGTGATGATGACCTAAAATCGACTTAAATCAAATCAGATAAAAATACTTTTGAGGGTGGACACACATGTAACAAAACAAGAACATCTACTAAAATGGTTTATATAGAAAAACAAATATCCATATCTGAACAGAACTTATACTAAGTCTGGGGGATTGAGTCCTCAAATTATAAAGGTCAATACTTTTTTTAATTCCTCAATCAAATAGACTGAAACACATGTCATCATCTTCTTCTTCTTCGACTTTCTCCTCGTTGGCCTCCGCGGCACCGGCCTCGTCTCCACCAACTTCAGTAGCGGTTACCGTGAGGGCAGCTCTGGAGGAAGGAATGGTTGCGAATTTCTCTCTTCCAACAGCAATAAGCTCAGTCAAATCCTTTCCCATAACTTGGGACAAAAGCAACTCAATCTTGGCATCATCAACTTCAGTTCCAACTGCCAGCCAAAGCAGCAGTACCAAGCCAATATTAATATTCAATAAATGTTTGTTTGTTTTTGCTTCCATTAAACCGTTAGATTCCAAGACAGAATTCACAAGTAAATAAATACATATCATCGATCATTCTAAAAAAATGTGGGAACGAACAAGATTAAATCTTTGATAAAGAAACAGCATTAACAATTATAGTTTCCCATCCTTCCAAAATTCAAGTAAAAAAAACATAAAACACAATGCAAATAAATCAAGAAACAAAGAGAAAAATAAAGAAAGAAAGAGAACCAGAAGCAAGAATGTGGTTCAAATCCTGAGCAGAAGGGTTGGCGTTGCCTCCCAACACGGCCAACAAATATGCTGCGATCTCCTTCATTTTCTTTCTTCTTTACTCCAACCCTAATATTAATATATCAGTAAAAAGAAAGAAAAACGAAAGAAAGCTTTGTGAGTAGTGAATTTATAATGGTTTGAAGACGAATTAATCTTGCTCTCCAAGTCTCCTACTATCAGCAAAAAAAAAATTGAGCTGGGAATTTATTAGGGTTTTCGGATAAATTGGAAACGGCTAAGGAGTGGTTTGGTTAAATTCGGTAAACTTGCTCTCCACGTACTAGAAATTAGTTAGATTGACATTCATAATATTTGATGCAAAAAATATATTTTATAATAAATAAAAAGGGTAAACTACCTATTTAGCCACTCACCTATTCTTATGTTCTTGTTTTGGTCATTCAATTACTATTTTTTTAAATCATACTTAACGTTAGGTTTGTTTTTGTTTTGTCCTTGGAGGTTCTGGGTTTGTGCAACTGCGTCTGCAGTGTTATGTTGTTAATTGATTAAGAAAGTTCTAAACAAATATTACCTTGTAATCATCCTAAATTATTCAAAATAATGATTTTATTGACATAAGATGTGATTAGAATATCCTAATAGTTTGAGGATGAAATTGAAATATTCAAAGGTTTAGGATAAAATGTTCAAAAATTTGAGAATTGATTCAGAATGAGAGTCTTAATTTGAGAACATATTATACAATTAACTCTCATATTTAAGATATGTTTATATTATATAATAGAATTTAATAATAATTGAAATAAGTTTGTACTTCGTTATATTTTTATTATTTTTAATTGAAAATTGTTGAAAAATAAAAATAATTAATAACTAATAATTATTAAATGATAAATTTATTTTTTAGTTAACATTTAATGAATAATTAAATCTTAGGAGGTTAGTAAAATTTTCATCCAAATTAAAGGAAAATTCTACAATGCTCGATGAGCACCGTTGAGCGTAATTAATTTAATTTATAAAAATTTAAAATTCTAAATAACTCAACATATAATTATAAATTAGTTAAAACTTTAAAGATAAATTATTTAAAATAAAATATTAATTACATTATTTTCCATAATTTTGTGGGTAAATTATACCACTGGCCACATAATTATTGGCCCTTTTCATTTTGATCACCATTTTTTAAATTTTGTCAAATAGGTCATCCATCTATTTAAACGCATTCAATCAAGCCAATGACTAGTAACATTTAATGAAAGCGTTGACATGACAGTTAGTAAAATTGGTATAATTACATATTTGATCATAAATATTTATAAATTCTATCAATTTCATCATAATTTTAATTCAATTTAATAATTTAATCTTCAATTAGGTGGTGACACATGTCACTACCATATTGGAGGATATTTTAATTTGAAAAAAGTTAATATGAAATCATAAACTTAAATTTAGAAATTCAAATAGTTTAAGGGCTCAAAACCCTAAATTGAGTACATCATTGGAAAGCTTATGAAATTTCCTATTGAATGATATTATTATTTTCATCATTCTGCAAGTGTAGGTGAAATCTTAAAATTTTACTATATTTAATGGTTTATATCAATTTAAGGTTTATGTTAATGTTGACTTTGGATGATGAATACCTTGATGAATATATGTTTCACAATTTTTTAGAGCAAGAAAGTTCAGTGGATTGTTGCCATTTGATTCCATGTATTGAATTTCTTGTGTTGATCATTTTTATGTAGACAAGATTGTGTGCATTGCCTATCGGCCTATTTAGAGCAAAAGGATGAAAGTCATTGTTAAAGGAAGCTTTGGTAAACTTTTACGATTAATAATTTATGATATATTTATTGTTTGCATTGTAAGTGCACTGAATTCATTGACATATTGTTGTCTGAGATGTATTCCAGACTATATTGAACTTTATGATATAATATGATATACATCGAGCTAAGAGCTAAAACATTATACTATGATAATAAATTTTCATAAATGCTGACAACATTGTATGTTATTGCATTGTGGTTGTATATTGCTTATAGTTACGTATCTTATCGAGTTTCAGATACAATTGACATGCCTTATCGAGTTTCAGATACAATTGACATGTCATAGAGTTTGATAGATTAAACTTGTGTTCGGATAGAGTTTAAGGATTGACCACATTGTGTTCGTGTATAAAAAAAATACCATTGGGCTAATATTGATTTTATTGTTATAGACATTTATATTTCTATCGGCTTTTCCATTGTCATTGTCATTACTATTGTTATTGTCATTACTATTGTTAAAGGATGATCATATACATTGTGATTATTTATCACTAAATCATTATCTTAGAGGTGTCATCCAATAGTATTCATGATTAAGACTACTTTATTAAGCTATGTAAGCTACATTATTTGTTTAATTGTTTCCATGGCATTGATCTCCATAATCTAGTTTAGGATTGCATCAAGTGGGTTGCAAATTATCATCGAACTTTTGTCAGTATAATGATCCTTTTGCTAAACTCCTTCTATAATGGTTACGTATATGGTTTTGTAATGTGAGATAAAATGAAATTTTGAGTTATGTTTGAATTGATTTTGTTGTTTTGCCAAAATTTTCAATTAAGTCCCTCCTAAACATTTCTAATCAATTTTCATACTTGTTATACTTCCATAACACCCCTAAATTTAGATTACAACCTTATCTCAATCAAATTCAACTTTCTCTTCAACCACCATAAATACCCACTTCATCATTTAAAAATGAAACAATGAAATCCTAAACCAATTTGTAGAGAATTAAGTGTAGAACATTTTCTTATTTCACACTTTAGTCCAAATTCTCACTAAAATGGATCAAAAATGAAAAAGAAAAACTTTGCTCACCTTAGCTATAGAGTCACGCAGAATGAAGAAGATGAGAGGAGAATTCTTGAGTTTTCCATACAAATATCTCTTAATTTATCTTAAAAAACCAATTAAAAATTCAGTTTAGCCCAAAAGTCAAAATTACCCTTAATGAATCCTAATTTTTACCACAATGCCATCCTTTTATCTCCATTTTAATATCCTTAAATAAATATAAAAATATTATTTATCAATTTCCATCATCACCCTTCCAATTTTCCAAAAATTCAATATAGTCACTAAATTTTACTATTCCACTTTAACGTGGAAATTCCTCCAAATTACACTAATTCACATCAAATTATACTAATTAAAAATATCAATATAATTTTTCTAACCTCAAACTTCTTTTCTTCAAATTTTGTAATCTGATTATCCAAATATTTTACGGGACTCTATAGCTTAATAAACTTTTATACAACTTCAAATCAAAATTCTAAAACCCACTAAAATTATATTCCTGGGCTGAACTTCTCAATTACAGACTCAAAATATAACTTTTGAAATTTTACATATTTAGTTCCTAAACTTTTTACAAATTTACACTTTAATCCCCATACTTTTGAAATTTACTTTTCAATCACTAGTCCAAAATTTGGGGTATTACAATTCTCCCCCATTTTGAAAATTCATCCTCAAATTTTCAATACTTATTTGTTTCAAACAAGTGAGGATATTGCTTTTCCATATTTTCCTCTCTTTCCCAATTAACTTCCTCGACCTTATGATTATGCCAAAGAACCTTAACTAGTGGGATTGTTTTGTTTCTTAACTCTGACTCCAAGTGCCAGAATATTTATTGATTCTTCCTTATATGACATATCTGGCTAAATCTTTATTTCCTCCAATGCAATGACATGAGAAGGGTCTAATCGATATTTTCGCAACATCGATACATGAAAAACATTATGAATCTTGTCCAGTTTCAGAGGCAATGCTAACTGATAAACTATCGGTCTAACTCTTTTTAAGATCTCATAGGGCCCAATGAATCATGGACTTAATTTTCCTTTGCGTCTAAAACGGAGAATATTCTTCCAATGCGATACTTTGAGAAATACTCTGTCACCCACTTGGTATTCAACTTCCTTTCTCTTCAAGTCTGAGTAAGAAATTTGTCGATCGATGGGTATCTTAAGATTATCTTGAATAATCTTCACTTTCTCTTCAACTTCTTTCATCAGATCTGGCCCCACTATGTCTCGATCTTTCAATTCAAACCAATTTAATGGTGTCTGACACTTTTCATATGGAGCCATCCCTTGATAGCTATTATTATAAGCAAATTTTTCTAAAGGCAGTTATTTCTCCCATGATCCTTTAAACTCAATCACACGCGCCTTTAGCATATCTTTCAAAACCTGAATAGTCCTCTTGGACTGACTATTTATCTATAGGTGAAAAGTTATGCTAAAGTTTAATCGAGTACCCAAGGCTTCATGTAAAGACTTCCAAACCTTGACGTGAACCTTGGATCCCTGTCAAATACTATTGAAATCGACATTCTATGTATTTGAACTATCTCCTTGATGTATAATTCAACATACTTATCCATTGAATAATCAGTTTAAACAGGGATGAAGTGCACTATCTTCGTTAACCTATCAATAATTACCCAAATTGAATCTTTGTTATTCGATGTCAATGGTAGCCCTGTTATGAAATCCATCGTAACTCTCTCCCATTTCCATTGAGAAATAGAGATCGGTTGTAAAAGTCTTGAAGGTACCTGATGCTCTGGTTTTACTTGTTGACAAATTAGGCACTTGGAAACAATCTTAATGATAGCTCTTTTCATGTCTGGCCACTAGTATCGACTCTTTAAGTCTTGATACATCTTGTTCCCTCTTGGATGCATAGTCAACGGACTAAAAATGTGTTTCAGAAAGTATATCTTTCTTCAATTTTTCATCTTTTAGAACACAAACACGGTCTCTGTAATATAAACATCCATCAGACTTTACTTCAAAGTCTTTGATTTCTCTTTTTTCCACTTGTTCCATTATTGCTAAACATTTTTCATATCTCCTTTGCAACTCCCTTATTCGCTCCAACAATAAAGCTTCAACTTTAAATCAGCAGCTAGAGCACAATCGTCTTTTAAAGACAATCGGGCATCTAACGTGAATAAAGCTGAAAAAGTTTTTCGGCTAAGTGCATCAGATACAACATTAGCCTTCCCTGGGTGATAATATATGATCGCATAATAGTCCTTAAGTAACTCGATCCATCTTCTCTATCTCAAGTTTATCTCCTTTTGAGTCAGCAAATACTTTAGGTTTTTGTGATCAGTGTAAATATAATATCGCTCACCATATAAATAATGATGTCATATCTTTAGTGAAAACACCATATCAAGTTTTTTTAATGATTGCTTCTGCACTCACATTTCTCTATCATTTCTCCATGAAAATCTCCATGAAATTTAATAAGGAATGATGAAGAATTTTCAAGATATTTGCTCATCTTCATCCTCCCATTTCCGTGAGCTATATACAAGGTAAGGAGACTACTTTTTAAAAAAAAATTAAGCTTGAATACTTGAATTTTGGATTAAGCAATTAGATAGAGAAGTAATCTACTTGAAATTCTCTATTATTTGGTATAATTATTTCATGGAAATCATGCTTGGATGATAAATTTTATAAATTGGATTGATTAAGGGGAAGTTAGGTTTTGATGGGTAGTTGATGTCGGAGAATCATTTTCATGCTTGTATGATGATTAAAACCACCTAGAAATGCATATATAAGTTTTGACCAAGCTAGGGTTCATGGAGAATTGGTTGAATTTTGATTGAATTGGTGGTTGAATGATTAGAATTGCATGAATTTAATCATAAGAGCTTGAAATCATGCTTGAAATTGGATGAAAAATACACCCTGGTTTCTACATTAGGTTCAGCCATGGGGAAGTTGTTGGGGGGGGGGAAATGTTCGAAAATTTTCTATGGTCTATAATTGATATTACATGAGTTCTACATGATTTGGATTAATTTGGAACCTTGAGATAGTAAAATGACTATTTTGCAAGTTTTGGGAATTATGACACCTTGAAGTGAAAATTTTCAATTATGAGTATTCAATGTTGAAATTTAAAATTTTTTGCTGAATTTTATGTTAGAATGTTAATATAAGATCAAATTGCAAATTTGGTAAAGTGTAATGGTCAAATTCGAATGGATTAGGAAGTAAGGGATTGAATTATAATTCTGCAAATGTGAAGGTACTTAATTGAATATATTTTACAATGACGGAATGTTTAGGATTGACTTGAATGAGTAAACATGATGAGGGACCAAGACGCAAGTTGTAAGAATTGCTGAAGAAATTAATGATGTAAAATAATGAAAACTATTCAGATTTTTGAATCTGGCAGTAAATTTGAAAAATCACTAGAAATTCTATAGAAACTATTAGGAGGTGATTCTTATGTCGTTGTGTTTTAATATCAATCTAGTTTTGTTTAAAACAAATGGAGATTGATCTCGAATTTTATAATAAAATATATGAAGTTCTGATCGATGATAGGTTAGAAAACATGGCAACAGATTCTGGAAATTGGATTAGAAAATTAACTATAAATTGTACAAGTCGAATTAGAAGGAGTGATTTATATGATTAGATTCATATTTGAGTCTAGTTTCAAATGGAAGAAATGGAATTAAATTCTAGTGTGTATTAATACAAAATAATTATTCTTTAAAGGTAGTGTAAGTTGTTAGAATATGGAAATTTTAGAATTGAAGTGGAAATGGATTAGAAGTTGAAGATTAATGTTTAAATGTTTTATTAGAATGCATGAGTATATTTTTGGATACATGGAAATGAATTTAAATGACAAGGGACCGTTTTTAATAAATTGAAAATGTTGAGAAGAATTCTAAAAGAATTCATTTTAATGGTTAGATGATGGAGTTTGAAATGATTAATAAAGTTATAAGTTGACATGAATGATAAGAGGATTGAAGTTATATTTTAAGTGTTATAGTTAGCATTTATGTTTTGAAATGGATTTAATATCGAATAAGTATCGAATAAGATCCATAAAAGTCGTTGAAGCATTCATCAAACCAAATGGCATCACTACAAACTCGTAGTGTCTATACCGAGTCCAAAATGTGATCTTTGGAATATCCCCTTATTTAATCTTCAACTAATAGTAACCAGATCGAATATCGATCTTGGAAAACAATATCGCATCTTTCTTCTTTACAAATAACACGGGTGCTCCCCAGGGCGACACACTTAGCCTGATGAATCCTTGATCCAATCATTCTTATAATTGAACCTACAACTCTCAAAGCTCGGTTGGAGCCATACGATATGAAGTCATTGATATGGGAGTAGTACCCAAAAATATTTCAATCTTAAACTCAACCTCCCTATCTGAAGGTAATCTTGGTAGTTAATCAGGAAACACGTATGGATACTCCCTAACAGTTGGAATATCTTCCAACCCTACTTTGAAAGTTTGGGTATCCACTACATTGGCTAGGAATGCCTAACACCCTTGCAACAATAATTTCTTAGCAGAAACGGTTGATGACACATTAAACAAAGGATTCATTCTTTCTCTGACTACTCTCACCTCTGTTCTGTACCTTCTAAATCTTTCAGTGTTAATCATTTTAAACAACAATCTACTATGGAATTATAAAAGGATAACCAATCCATGCCCAAAATAATATCAAACTCCTCAAAAGGCAGCTTAATTAGGATTCTCGAAAATTCAATTTCTTGAATCTTTATTGGGCAATTTATACAAAATCAAGTAACTCGTGCACTCTGACCTAAAGGATTCATCGCCACTATATCACTAGAAGTATACTCTAAAGGAATCCCATATTCTCTAATCAGCTTTGTACTAATACATGAATTTGTAGAACCGAGGTCAATTAAAATAAAGTCATATGCATCATAAAGATAAAAAGTACATACTATAACCTCCGAATCATCTCTGTCATCGGTAGTCTTGATATTATAAACCCTAGCTGTAGGGCACATCTATGACTATGGAGTAGATTCAGATGGTCCCCTAGATCTGGCATTGCCTCTTCCTCTTTGTGAAACTGTAGCAGATCGCTCAGCCTGGGATGGTCATTAAGTCGTACAAGGCAGTCTCTCACAAAATGACATGTCTCGCCACATTTAAAACATGCCCCAAACATCATTCGGCATACTCCTAAATGATCCTAAATGAGATTTACCGCAGACCTCACATAATTGAAGCTCCCTCTGAACTGGTCTACTCGCACTTGAAATAACTTAATGTGATTGGCGACCTTTTCCAAAATTGGATCCTTTATGATTGGAAGCAGTATTCTCGGATCTACTCTGATATTTATCACTGGAACCTCGGCCTCTCTTGCACGGAGCTACAGATGAAAATGACCTATGTATTTTAGGTGGCTGAAATCTCTGCTCGATAAATTTCTCATTATGTACTCTCTCCAAGGCTTTGGCTTGATTCACTGTCTCTTGAAATTTATGCAATTCTAATACCAATATGAACTCTTTCAGTCTTGAGCGCAACCCCTCTATAAACCACTCACGTCAATCTCTTAGTCGCAACCAATTCTAAGGTAAACATGCTCAGCTTGTTGAATTCACATTCAAACTCATAAACAATGATTGCCGTGCTTCAAATTCAGGAATTGCTACTTCATTTTTCAGATGAATTGGTTGCCAATATACTTGTTCTTAAATTTCTCTAAGAAAAATTGCCAACCCTCTCTGAAGGGATATGTGTCGTGGTGTTTATCCACCACATTCGAGCTATACCTCAAAGTAAAGACACCACTCCATTTAATCTCTCACGGTCAAAGTAGCGTAATCCATCCAACATTACTTTTACATCATGTAACCAAAGATTCCCTGTCACCAAAACTTTATTAGTTTCTCCCTTCAATTTAGGGGCTCTCAGACTCTTTAATTCTTTTGCAACAGACATCAGAGCTGGTGGAGCAGGTGGTGGAGGGGTGGAGGAGCAGACTGATGTCGTTGCAGGATAGCTTCTAAAGCCCGAAGAAATATTCCTTTATCAAGTACATGTATTCCCTGAGGCGCAGGTATTCCCCTCTGTTTCGAATGAATAGAGGTTTCAACGTTCACTTCATTACTAGCAGTCCCTTCTGAAACATCTTGTTGTTCAGTCGCTCTCCTAGGCATTCCGGATTCATACATTACTAAATGTAAACAAATACATAGATTAGTAAGGAGCGACATCCCACATATAAATACTATATCATATCAATTAATTTTGACATTCTAGTGACATGTACTAACTTTCAACAATTAATGACTTCGGTTTAGACAGAGAATCAGCTAAACATGTAGCTCTGATACTAATAAATGTAACACTCTTAACTCACATACATACTCATATACAAGTCAAAGATTTCACATCAGTCATACAAAACAAATATTGTTCAAAAATGGAAAATATTTTATTTCTTTTAAAAGTTAACTAATATAATAAAAATAATAAAAATAACTAGTCAATTTAATATTCATTTAAACTAAAATAAAATATGATTTAATAAAATACTATTCATATATAATAAAAACTAACATATATAGATTAAATCAAAAAGTATTTCAGACATATTGAATCAGAGCATCAAAAATATAAATATGTAAATGCCAACTAAGAAATATCAAAAATATCAGAAAGATGTCATACTAATTTTGGTTGTTTGAACTGGATTTCAAAATATGGGATGTCTGACCTTCCTCCTTACTCCCCTGTCAACTTCCCTTTACATACGTGTAAAACAATCACACGCTAAGTTTTCTACTTAGTGAGGCAACATAATAAAATAAAATAAAACTTTTAACATATGGAACAAGTGATATCATATAAAAAATATTATCAAAATTAAACTTGTATAAATCTAATTGCGATCAATAAAATTATTTTCATATACTGGAAGTTATAAATTTAACTGTCAGTTCAAAACCCGTAAAAAAATTTTACTTAAACAATCTGACAATCAACAATATTGTGTCATATCAATTTTGTACTACTCTATTTCAATTCGTATTATTTTCCACTGTATCATCATGAGAATATATGGTACGCGAGTCAGTAAAAGAGTGTGAGCGCTATTTGCAGTTTTATAATCAGTAACAGTAATTTACATGTATTGTAAAACACATCATCACTGTACCAGTAATCCAATATGGATTTCACAATGTCACAACATCGTGAACCCACAGTGTACATATAGTGCCAGTATCAGTAATCAGTGAATAGTAATTAATAATCACATGCTATAAAATAAAAAATAATAAAATATTGTATTTTTAAAAATACTGAAGATACTCATTTTTTTTCATTTGAATATTGTGTATATTATTATTATAATTATAATTATTATTATTATTTTATTAATAAATATTATTACAGGCCCAATCCAGACTAGACCAGCCCATTTACAAAAGACCCAACTGGCCCAAACCTAATAGAAACCTTAAAACCCATTTAGGGTTTGATCTCAACTTCAGCCGCCACTCATCTCTCAGCCGTTGGATCAGATCTTGATCCAACGGTCCAAGGACCTCCAGATACAAACCCTAGGGTTATGATACCCTAGGGACCACGCAGCCGCCGTTCGTCAACCTCTGCTACCACGCTGCCACGACGCCAACCGAAGGATCCAGAAGGCCTAGCCATAGCCGCACACGTCGCCTTCAATGGTGAGTCACCACTGGAAGTTCGGTGACTCACCAAGCTTCAATCTTTTACCCAGTCCGAAGAAGATACCGCGAGGCTTATAAAAGCCGACCACCTGCAAACAAGAGAAGGACAGAGGGCAAGAACAGAGAACAAAAAAAAAGGAGACAGAGAGAGCACAACAACCAAACCATCAAAAGATCGAAACAAAAAATTAAGAGAAGCCTTATCGAAGAAGCTGCGACGCCACCGGAGTTCATAGAGCGCCGTAGAAGCAAAATACTGAAGGTATTTTTCTTAGATCTAGGAAAATACGGGACGTTTTAAGGAAAACTAAGGACAAAGTTGAACGTAGATCACTCGGATCTATCGTTCGGGAGGTTTTTATTTTTCTGGCCACCGGAAGCGGTGGCTGGCGGTGAGTTTATCGGCGGCACAAGGCTGCCGGCCGGTGACCGGCTTCCCTCCGATGAGGGAAGTTAGAGAGGGACGAGAGAGTTTAAAAACTCTCTTGGAAAGTGAGAGAATGAGAGAGAAGAGAAAATGAATTTTGGCCGTAAGGCCGTCTGGTTTGGGGCTTATATACCCCTCTCTGAACGACGTCATTTTGGGGAGGGGTCTGTGTGTAATTAATTAAAGGACAAACCCTATCCACAACCCAGTAACTTTATAATTTTCCATTATAGTCACTGAAATCAATTTATGATCATTTTAATTTGATCTCTTAATTTTATTTAACTTATAATTTAGTCATTAACATAAAATATATATTTTAATTAAAATAACCTATTTAGTCCTCATAACTTTATTAATTAATATTTTAAACGCCGAATAACATGTTTTAATTTCTTTTAATTTGATATACGAATTTGATATAATTTTAATCTAGTCACTAAATTAATAAAAGGGTAGAATAACATATTTAGCCACTGAAATTTTAAATAATTAATTATTAATTAGGTATTTAATTATATTAGGTTATAATTTAGTCACTAATTTCAATTTTTATTATTTTTTACAAGTTTTATTTATTTTAAATATATAGTTTTAATTTTTTTCATTGTTTAGTTATATGTTAATTTTATATGTTTACTTTTAATTATTATTACTATTATTATTATTATTTAGCCATAAATATATATATTTATATAATAAATAATATTTATTTTATTTATTAAAATCTTATTTAATTACTTTTAACTTATTTTAATCATATTTTAATATTTATTTATTTTTCAATATTAAGAAAAGGCAGTCTTAAAACAACTGGATGTCCATTTTCCGATATTTTTAAATAAATAAATATCCTATTTTATAAATTATATATTAATTGTTTTAATTATTTATTTATTTTTTAATATCGAAGAAAAGAGCTGTCTTAAGGTACCTAGAAGTCCTTTTCTGATATTTCTAAATAAATAAATATTTTATTTATAAATATATATAAATTAATATATTTTTTTCATAATTATAATTTTGAATTAATAGGATTATAAATTAAATATATTTTGAATTTCTAAATTTCTAATAATAGAGACAATTTATAATTAAAAAGTACCAATTTTGGACGTTGTAGGGGTGTTGATTCTTCCCTAAACGTAATCGACCACGAATCCTTTTTTATTATTAAAAAGAACGAATTTTTGGTTAAAACGCATATCAGTTTATCTTCTAATCGACGTTTTCTTAAAAACTCTTTTAAAGGATGATTTTTAGGTATTCGACCTACTTGACCCAAAAGGCCGATGACGACTCCCAAATTATTTTAAAAAACATTTATTCACATCACTTTTCCCGCCAAGTAAAAAATTCGTGCTCGGACGAAAACCGGTTACGACAGCTTGGCGACTCCACTGGACCTGGTCAAACTTTAAAATCAATTATGAATTGTCTCTATTAATTAAAAATTCATATATTTAATTTTTAATTCTTTCTTTTCAAAATTTTTATATATACCTATTATTTTCATAATATTTATATGTATATTATTTTATTAATGTTTCATTTTATTTTTCAAGTATTTTATTTCATTATTTATCTGTCAGAGGTTTGAACATTTATCCTCACACACAACACATGCATTGCATAAACATAATCTCTATAACTGAGATTTGTTCCTTTTAAGTGGGAGTGAAAGCGACGTCTTCGTGAGAATTTATTCTCCGTGTCAGGCATAAAGAAATGTGTCCCCTCGAATTGAACTCGGTCTGCTTAAGTCTGTAGTGGACTAGGATTGAGGGTTGGCAGCCCAAGGGGGCATCAACAAGGACAATTCGAGTACCTTTACTCCTAGAACTGAAACTCTGCATATAATAAACCCTAGAAATTCACCTGATCTAAGACAGTACTGAACCTCTGTTCATATGTGTACACAAAGGAGAAATAAGTTCTAACTTTTTATCTTTTGATTTATTTAATTTTTTCCTTTTTCTGAATAAATGCCTGCGAACTAGAAATCATGCAGTTATGTTAATTTTTCCAAACAAAGCATGAAACTAGAAAGCATGAGGTTAGGATTTATACCTTGATAGATATAAATTTTTTCTTTCCATTAGTTGGTACTAACTATTCTATTTTTTCTTATTTTTTTCATGCATGTTACATTGCTCTAAACTTGTTTATATTGATTTCTTTTGTTTGCATTGCACGATCATGGCATAATCAAAAGGTGTTGACTTGAAAGACTGTTCGTCATATTGGAAAGAAATCGTAAATGGACAAAAAGTTTTATGATCAAACAAAATATGATGCGGCCAAGAAAAGGCATCCTGAGGGAACTCCAAGGATAGATGAGAGCTATGCACCCAAAGATCGTATGCCTATTGAAGAGCAAAAGGAGATACGACAAATAAGAGAGCAGATGTCCAAAATGATGGAAAGAATATCTGTTTTGACCAAAGGAAAAGAGATTCATGCACAAAAAGATATAGAGATCAATGAACATAATCTTGCAATTTCAGATATGCAAGGGACTTCTGATACTAATCAATTGGAGAAGTTACAGACAATCATCATTCGTATTCACAAGTCATCTGGAGATACCAAAGAAATGATGACAACTGTAAAAGCTCCCAGAGAAGAGAAGAAATCATGTAACCTGAAATCATCGAAGTTTAGTCTGCTCCCGGCATCTAAAACTCAGGTTCAATCCAAGACAAAAGGCGGTTCTCATGTTGATGCTATACCTATATCATATAAAGAGTTGTATGAAAAGTTACTTGAAGCACGAGAAGTGGCTCCATATTACATAAAATCATTCCAACCTCCGTATCCAAATTGGTATGACATCAACGTTCATTGTGAATATCATGCCGGAGCTCAAGGACATACCATCGAGAATTATCTTGCCTTCAAACGTCGAGTCCAAAGTCTTTTGGATCATGGAACCTTACAATTTATGGTAAATGATCAACCTAGTTTGGTAACCAAAGGTCCTGCTAGATTAATACCAAAAGTCTTCAAAGGTAAGAGTATCAATAGGGGCACCCAGAAAGAAGAAGATTTACTGAGGTTCGAGGCTCAAATACGTCATTTAAAGATGGAAAACAATAAATTGAGCACCAAAATGGAAACCATGCAGGAAGATTTCCAGAAGATCAATCAAGCTTTTCGAAATACTACCATAGGAAACACCCCAGAAGAGTGGATAACAGGGGTCACCAAACTGAAAAAATAGTTGCAACATACATGAAGATCTTGTCCAAAAACTTTTTGAACACAAATGTTCTCTCACAAGGGAAAATGAGCAACTCCGAGAATTGACATAGGAGATGAAAGAACACCAGAATGTCATGGAAGAAGCTGCAGTCCAGACAAGCAATATGGCCCATAAGCTGATAAACTAACTTGGATACTTAGGAGAGATATTGGATACTTAGGAGATAATTAGGTTTAACTAACCTACCTTAAAATGATTTTAGCACTTTTATTTAGCAAATGAAAAATGCATATACAAATAACATTTTTGAATGCCTTTTATGCTAATAGTTAGGAGGAGTTTATGATCTTTAGTGAAAATTAATAATATGTTCAAATAAAATTTAAGGGTAGATTTGATTGATTGAACATAGTTAATTTCTGTAATATGAGTTGTCAATACCACTAGAGTTGATTAATTTTGCACGCTAAGTGTTTAAATACAAATTTTTGACATTTATGTGCACTAGGTAGCAATATGGCCCAGAATTTATATATACTTTGCATCAATTAGCGGATATTTTTACAAAACCTTTAGAAAAAGAGAGATATTGGATACTTAGGAGAGAATTAGGTTTAACTAACCTACCTTAAAAATGATTTTAGCACTTTTATTTAGCAAATGAAAAATGCATATAAAAATAACATTTTTGGATGCCTTCTATGCTAATAGTTAGGGGGAGTTTATGATCTTTAGTGAAAATTAATAATATGTTCAAATAAAATTTAAGGGTAGATTTGATTGATTGAACATAGTTAATTTCTGTAATATGAGTTGTCAATACCACTAGAGTTGATTAATTTTACACGCTAAGTGTTTAAATACAGATTTTTGACATTTCTGTGCACTAGGTATCGATACCGGTCACCCAGGTACTGATACCCCATTGCTAGGTATCGATACTGATTTAAACAGTACCGATACCCTTCTTGAATGTGTATCGACATCCCTCGATGGGTACCAATACCCCTATTCGGGTTTAGGCTTTAAAATCCCTAAAATAACACATTTTGTCAAAACCTAAATATAAACACTCTCCACGTCGTTTCGTCCCTCTCCTCTACCAAATCATCTCCTTGCTCATATCCTTCGATTTCAAGTCGGATTTCATTCGTTCTTCAACTCATAATCCTACTACTTTCATCAAAATCGTGCAAACAACAACAAATCTCACTCAATCTCGATTTTTCAAGGTAAACGTTTCTAAAATACTATTTTATTGATTTTTGAACATAGGACTAGTTTTAGTTAGTTCTAGTTCAAATTAGTGATTGGGCATTTAGTAGATTATAGTTTAGGACTAGAATCTACAACTAATTTTCTCAAAAACACAAAAAAATTCAAAATAATTAGAAATAATATTTTTTTAATTATTGCTTTTGATTTAATTATGTCATTTTTATGAAACTATATACATTATAATTTTTCAAAATTAGTTTTCAAAATTTCCTGTTAGACACTAAGTTAGAGAACCTTGAATATTGAGGACTCATATTGAGTTTTGAGAATAATTGTTTCATACATGTGTTTTTTAAAATTGCAGTTATCCCATTCCGGTTTTTAAACCATTTCTAAACGAGCTAGGACATCTTCCAGTCGATCAAACCCACCTCCAAATCCACCTCCTATTCTACCACAAAACCCTAATAAACCCGAGATAACCATTATAAACTTATGTTTTAATGAACCTAAACATAGAGGTCTCTACTCTAGGTTCATAAACCATTTTGAGTCTTATAACATTAGGGAAGAGCGTATCCCGTCTCTCCAAGCTATGATAGACATGAAATTTAAATACCTCTAAACCCTCAAATCATGGAAATTTGATAATCTCTTTAATCTTGAACCAGTTGCTTATCACCAACTCGATCGTATTTTCTACTCCAATACAGTTATGTTCAAAACGAGTCTCGAACCGCAACCGAGAGTATTCGATCTTATCTCCTAGGCTAATATATTAATATAGACTCAGACTACATTGCTAGTACATTTGGATTAGATAACAGAGGGTTAGATAATGAGTGAGCTATAGTGTCTACTCCTTATAAAGCCAAGTCTAGTGAGAGTGTTTTAGATTATCATGAATGTTTCCTTCATCTCATCATCTCTTGGTGGTTCAGACCATCCGGAGGAAAGTACTCCACTCTTAGAGCACATGACTTATGGTGGATACATTGTATCCAATAAAATAAGAAAATAAATTTCCCTCATATTATCTTTGGAGAACTCGTAGAATCCGTAAAATAAGAAAATAAATTTTTCCTCTAAACGTGTTGAAATATTAGTTTACGGATGTCTACTTAGTAATATGTTTATCAAAGTTGAGCTTAAGGTAGAGCTTGATGTAGCCATCCCTCTTACCACCCAAATCAATCTCATATCTTTACGAAATTCGGGATGGAGTGGAGACAAAGATCAATGGGTTCGCTCAACACAAAAAACTCCGGGTGCTAGCTCTTCATGAGCTGCTCCAGCTCCGATTGATGCTCAAGAGCTAGAAGATCTTCTACGGGATGTCGACGATCCCGTAAACCAGGTCGAGGACTAGCCATCCAGGCAAGACATTTCAATGCCTCCATATTTTCAGTCTTTTATGGAGACATTGGATTTAAGGTTTGCATCCTTAGAGTCTCATTTGACTGCTCACCGCAAAGCAATGGAAAATAGATTCAATGTTGTTGATGAGAGACTTAAAATTGTTAAACATTTTGAATGATTTGGATGAATTTTGAATATTTGGTTTAGATGTTTGTTTTGGATATTTGATTGTGGTTTGTTTGAATTACTATGAATGTTTATTAGTTATTTGAACTTAAATTGAATTTTCATTAGCTTATGCATTATTTACATCTTAGTTAAATTATGACCAATTCCCAATTTGCATATTATTTTTTAATATTGATTATGGACTAATAGCTAATATTTCTCTTGACTTTGATCTTAGCAGCTATATCAGTATAAATCAATTGGATATTTTCTTTAAAACCTTGTTTAAATATTTTATAGACTCTTTTCGATTTAACAAAAAGGTGGAGAAATGTTATAGTAAGGAGGAGTAATTTTTCAAAGTAATTTTTTAAAAGAAAAAAAAAATCTTAAAATTTCTAAAAAGTTTTGTTATATCAAAAAGGGAAGATTGTTGAGAAAACATTTTGATATTTCGATATAACAAAAGTGTTAATGAATTTTAAGATTTTATATTCGATTCAAAATTATATATTCAATTCAATTATTCAAATATCAAAAATATTACTCCAAGTTTTCAAAGATCAATTTTTACTCCTTACTTAATGAAAAATTGTGATTTATACTTAAAATATTTTTTGGAACAATTTTTACAAAGTATTTTGAACCATAATCGAGTCAAAATTAAGTTTTAAATAGGGAAGTACCGATACCCCTTTAGTGAGTATCGATACCCCTCAAACATCGAATGCAAAAGAGGTACGAATACCCCACAAGGTATCGATACACCTTTATATAGTAGTACCGATACCTATCCCAAAGGTA